TATAGTTTTTTGGCCTAACGATTAAACCAACAACATTAAACAATTCAATGGGCAATTAGGTGTGAGTATCTACTTATAATTTGGTATAGAATGCCAATAACAATTTACCATATGGTTAAACTAGGATTTGACCCTATTCTAAATCAAAGATATTTTGTAACTTTAATGTACTGTGCCATTCTACGATAAATACCTATATACGGTCATCCGGATTATACCGATCAAACGTACAAATTGTTATATGTGGAATATAAATTATTATAAAACACCAAATATTATGAAACCGGTAAACTCTTCTGGAGTACTTGTAAATACATATAAACAAGTTGTCACAGTAGCAGATGATATTGCTGGTAGCTGTAACAAGAAGCTACGTTGGAGATTATAATTCACTATCTAGGTACTTACAGTGTGCAAGCCTGCATCCTGTTCTGGATGCATTAAGTCTGCAACGCAATTACCTACGCAATTAACCAGAACAGTGGAAAGAACTGCGTTGTGTACTTAGACACAGGATTAACAATTCAAACATACTTTTAGGTATAAATTAAACCTAATTATGCACCTATTTAACTTACTTCTGCAAATAGATATGTAATAAATAGTATTAGAATATAGGTTATAATAGGCATCCAAGCAAGTTTGGTGTGCGGGCTTATTTACCTGATATTTATATTCTAGGTGTGTACTATAAAGCAAATATTGATACCGTTGCTGCGATCTCGTGACTGTGCAGTTTGTGTACAAAATATTCATGAAAGAAGTAACATAAGGAAATAATCAATACCTGCATAAAAGTAGTAACATCGATCTACATGAGTTGATATTATTGTTGTAGCAAAAGTTTTGCTAACCAAAAGTCTTTGAAAAACATTCATAAACTGAAGTTTATGATCTATGGTAGTCATGCGATAGTTCGTTCGGCGTGAGGTCACGCAAACTGGTAGACAATATATGCAGAACTCCCTATTTGTCACCTGCTATTAAATAACTTAGACATTTTATATACCTACTACATATTTTTATAATCTCAACATCTATAACAAAATTATTGAGATACGTGTAATATAACGATAGATGATAGATATCTGTACCTAGATAGATGTCTGTATATAATAAAATAACAATATACTATTTCTGTGGATTTAACTAAAAGTGTGCTAAAAGAAATATCAAAATATTTGATAGCCTGTCCGGACATTTGAAAATTAAAAACTACATATTGTTTGAATGTGAATTGATATGTGGTTAGGTTATGATTTTTGAAGCCTCTAAAGAAATCACCTTTTTGGCTGAATTTAATTGTGTACATTGTGTTGCATGCGTTAGCATAGCGGTTCAAGGTTGAGATATGGTAGTGCAATTACAGGCCACGAAAACCTAACACCTATATCCTCTAGAGTGCAACGCATGCTGGGTACCATAAGAGACTTTTGATAATTGGTTTTTGAGGTGGGACACCTTGTTAGCAATTCCGTTTCTTAAAATCAATTAACTAAATAACAAACATCAGTAACATCTTTCAACATTGGACAGGTACACGTGTATTATCAAACACACGAAACTTATTATTACACAATAAATACCTATATACTTGCTATGGTAGGTATACTCCGATGCCTAGGTTAAGGTCTATGATAGCAATGAGCTCAGAACTGTTAAGTGTGAGTGTTCCTTTAAATAAGTCCTTGTTTTCTAATAACAGCTAAATAAGTAATGCTATGTACTTATCTAAGTAATCCGGAAATTAAAATAAACAATTTTGTTCATGGAAAATTTATTCAGAAACTTCCTTCTCAATCTCTATCGTATAAGCTTTCTGACGTGACAGCGTCCGCCTTAAAGTCGCAAGTTCAAAATCTTATTGTCGATGCATTACATATATAATAAAAAGCAAAATATATAATAATATAATAGATACTTATCAAACGCATAATCGCATCAATTCGAAGTCCACATGGTTGGTTATAAGTTATATTCAAATATAACCAACATAGCAGGCGGCGAGACTCCCATATAAATTTCGTTTTGTTATCAGTTTTTGTCAAAAAAAATGTATATTTTAGTAAGATTTCTCGTACTGTTGGCAACCCTGTTCGGGCTTTTCAACTGTTCTGGCGTTTAGCGCTGACAACGCAGTAACAAATTAAAATTAAACATGTTTTGTAACAATTAACCATACGTTGGCAGATTGTCGGTCCTCTCTGATTATTTATTTACATTACGAGTAGGTACGTAATGCATACGAGTTGGTATATGTAATATCCAGCATACTAAGATCTTTTAATGATTGAATTTAATAATCGATGAATGTTCATAACTCAAAAGCAAGTTATTCTTTATAATTTATGCAGTTGTATAATGTCTTGAACATATTAAATATGGAATACAATATATAAACAAGGTCCCAAGTCACAACGGTGACTGTCGCCTATATAGGTATGTACCTACCTACATGAACAGCACTACGGACATCATGTTCTCAAGTGATACCCGCGATACCATTCCAGATGATAAGGATGTTACGCCACTTATCATGTAATTTCACATTATATAAAAGTTAAAATTTTTAAGTCGAGAAAGTGGACTTCATTTGATTTTTTTTAAATCAAAGGCAGATAGATATATGTTTTCTGTAATTGGCATACCGACCTAAGTAATATCCGTTTATAAAACGAATACTGTAATTAACTTATACTTCTAATACCTAAGATCTACTTAAAATCTAAAATTACCTATGATATCTTTCACCAGAAATATCTAGGTTACATTTAAATTAAATTGTAACCTAGTCTGTTTAAAAAAATCGTCTTGTAATAGTAACAAAATGAATAATTACCATACCGACAAAATATTGTATTATATCTAGTTTCTCTTTATTATAGTAGATAAAATATTTGTCTTTATTATAAAACTAGACTGAGAATAAATTAATACCTACGTATTTTGCATAAGCGAAACAATAATGTAAAGTGCACTATCTCTGAAATTCAGGCAAAGAAGGATTTCACAGCGCCCGAGGATGCATAAAGCCACAAATCCAGGAAAAGCTTTTACGTAAAAACTACAATACTTATAGAAATCGGACAAACGTGCTAACAAATTATTTGCTTTCCCTTCTACAGGGCATAGTGTTAGTTACCTATATATTTATTATATATGTCTAAGCAATAGTGTTTGGTAGCATTATTGATTTTAAAAAAATTGTGAAGAAATTTTAGTATGTTTTTCGGTCTGATAAAGTACTAAGGCAGTATTCCATTACAGTAGCAAACAAAACATATCTACAGTAGGTAACTAGGCAACAGGCTTTTTTAATTTTATACATAACGGAGTATTTTCTATTCTATTCTATTTGAATACCGATTCCTAACCTATTCAGTACGTAGAAACAGTTTTTATGATATTAAGATTAACTACCAACTAACTATTTACTAGCTTTGCCTGCGACTTTGCGGATGCGACCTATATATAGCACGTTTAATAATAATAACTAGCTGTGTCTCCGTGGAATACACGACGAATTTAGAATTTTCATTTTATCTGCTATATTATTTTACCCCCTTAAGGGTGAAATAGATATGACATTCAAAGTTTATATAAACTTTGAATATCATATTTATTTACATTTAATTTAATTTTCACGCTTTAAAAACGACCATACTTCAATGTAATCTTTCATCTCCCTATTTCAACCCCTTACGTCCTTTTTTTGCTTTAATGAGTAGCCTAGGGGAAGCCCGGGCAGCGCGGATAAGTTAAGAAAAAGCAAAAAAATAACACAGGAATAATCAACTTAGGAACATAGTTTATTTTTTATTTATGGCACATATAATCACCTTTGCAAATGTAACGTTCAATATTAACAAAATATAATATCTTCATATAAAAAATTAATTAATTAAAAACCTCTTCCATTATCCGTTTTACCCGACCGGGCGGGTAAAGCGAATAAGCTAGTTGGGTAATGTGGATTAGGCTGTTACTCCTGACAGTCGTCGCAGAAATAACTGCTAAGTCCATCATACAATGTACAGATTCCATGTGCCCAACAGTGGCAGTTGGAGCATTGGATCCAGTCTTCTATAGGTGGATCCATATACTCTTCGGTGCAGACCAGGCATGAATACATTTCTTTTACTTTTTTCGTAATATTATGTTTTTTTTCTGTTTTTCCTCTCGTTGTCATATTTTCCTTTCCTTTTTTCTTTTTCTTGACATCTAAATGTAAGATTTTAGTTTTTTAATCTTTTTTTTTTATTTAAGGCTTGTTCGTTTTTAACAGGTGTAGAAGTTAATACCATTGACGTTTGGCATCTGCGTTTCTTATTAGTTTTTGAAGCAGCCATAGTTGGTATTGGCCATATTGCGTATGGCGAAATGGTAACTGTTGCTGAAGATAAATTACTCATCTCTTATACGTTAGACTGTATGGAGGTCGATAGTACTTGGCAGGTATGTTCTGTCATAGAAGAAGGACCTGGTGTACAGAATGAAGGCATATTAGTATGGCTGCTATGGCTGGCATCAAATTTTGTAGCGAACTGTAAAATATATTCATTTTATTATAAGGGTTAAAGCGGATAACTTATCCGCTTTACCCAAAACGTGTATTTCTAAGAATACCTACTTTTCTTAATATTTCAATACAGGCTCAATATAATATTAATATCACAAATAATACTAAAAACATTGTTAATCTGCAAAACTAAATCATTCCTGGGTTAGCTAACAGTAAAAACAAATGAAATGAGAACAAACCTGATCGAAAGTCGTAAGAAAAACACTCAATACAATCATTTTGTCACTAGAAAAAACGAATAGCACCAATTGTTTTGAATCAACTGTCATGGCGTAGTTAGGGGGGTCACTTATCTATGTTTTTCAGAAACTTTACTTATTCGCTTTACCTAGGTTATTCGCTATGCCCGGGCTTCCCCTATATCCTTTCTCAGGGTCTAGACTATCTGTATACTAAATTTCTTCGAAATCTGTTCAGTAGTTTTGGCGTGAAAGCGAGACAGATAGTTTTACTTTTGCATTAAGTTTCTCCTGCACTTTAGATATGGAAGCCGTACAAATTATGGACAAAAACGCATTACAAGGGATCAATTTTATCATTTTGATTGAGATAACTTTCGTTTAGGAAGTGTCGTGATTTCTACAATATTTTATTAAAGTTTTGTTTTTGAGCATAGGTCGGTATAATTAAATAACATTTTGGTTGTAAATAGTAGTGTACTGAAGTGAATTTCATCACATACGTATTAGATATCGTATAATTGTACATGAAAATAGTACAGTCACAATTACATAACACAATGAAGTACTCGTAGTTCTCTCCAAAGATTTCTGAGAATGCGGGCTTGGCAAAGGACTCATAGGGGTAAAATGAAACATTATTATATCAAGGTGTTAGTTTAATTAGTTTTTAATCTTCTTCACCATAAAAGTATTGTGGCATATACTCATCTTCAATATATGTTGTATCGAATTTGTATTGTTGATCTATTAATTTTTCAATTGAGCGATCATATTGATATATTTCGTTCTCCCACTGTTCTACGGTTTTGGTGAATGTATCAAACATAGTCGGACTTAAATCCTTAATATAATTTACAATATACTGCTTAATACTTAATAATGAATTTTCATTTTCCTTCCTTATATTTAATTTTATTATGTGTCCCCACAAGAGATCAATAGGAGTAAGTTTATTAAGTTTCAACGGAAGACATAGCATATTATGGCCAAATGCTTTTATGATTTGTTCTAATTTACACTTTGGTTTTATTTTGCTGTTGCTTATAAGGTCATATAATTCTGGTTTTTCCATTTCATAATAATAAGGAATGCTGTTGCTTCTCAACCATTCTATCATTTCATATTTAGAATCATATCGAGATATAGATTTACATGGTGAAATAATCTCGAAGAGAGTTTTGTCAACAACAATAGTTGTTGCCGGGTTCAGGTTCGGAAGTAGAATATCTATTATCCATTTTGTAAAGTTTTCTTCACAAATGTTATTAGTGCATAATCCATTTATATAACCATTTTTAGAAATCGAATGTAGAAATATAAATTGGTCATTATTTTCATCTGATGAGTCTTTCAGATTTGTCAAACGTTCAAATGCCTGCTTCTCATTTATAATTCTTACATCGATATAGCAGATATTTGCATCTTTACTTCTTAACTTTTTAATTCTACTGAGATAATGAAAGCGTTCAAAACTAAATTTTGGATCTTCTACAAGTAATGGACCATTATTAGTTTTTTTATAGTGGTACCCCATTAAATACATTTCTCGTTTATAAATATTAAACTCGGGCATATCAATGCTATTTTTTAATGTTTTGTAAATTAGAGAATATGTCGGCAAGGTTCTGTTATAAAGAAATTTACTTATGCATTCTAAATTTCCAATTATTTGTTTAATAGATAAACCTTCAGTTTTCACCAGTAAATTTCTTTCTTCATCTTCTAATGCACATATATAGTTTTTAGGAAAAGCTGTATAGTAGGAGGCCCGTTGAACATATTCATCCAATGGCACTTGCAAAGTACTACTGTCGTGTTCCTTTTTGCATCTTTCCAAAACTGTACTTATTATGGATTTAACTTTAGCTTCAATTTGTTTTTCTTTAATATTTGTTATACATTCATTTCCACGAAATTTCCGTTTTGTATTCATTTTTATTACTGGAACATATAAAATTGTGTTTAATTGTGTATTACAATGACCTGCAGTTCCACTTTAAGCACTAACATTTATAACTTCTCTTAACTGTTTACACCAGGAGATGACATCAGTAATTTTGGCAAATATCAGCTAGGCTCTCTGCCAAAGCACTAAATAATCGACAATAAGTATTACATTTAGGTGGTGTTTAATTTACGAGTAGGTATGCTGTGTCAAAACATGTGTTTGTTATGTCAATTTAGTAATAATGTGTATATAATAATATATCACGAGCATCAGCAGTATCCATGACATTTCATATATGGTCAAATCAGCACAACACCTAGACTTCCTTAAATTTTATTCAGGCTTTCTTAAATTTTATTCAGATTTTCTATAAATTTTATACTTGAACATTTTTTTGAGTGCCATAATTGTTGGTTCACATACTACTACGTTTAGATTATAATTATAAATATTAAAATTAGTATTCGATCAGGGTGTGTACTGAATAGAAACCAAATATTTTGATATTGACCATATTAAATTTGTTACATTGTTTACAAGTGGAAAATAGAAACAAAAATACCTAGCTACTTTGCTTTATACTATTTATAGAAACAGTTACATAAACAGTACACACTAAAATGTTTTTTTATATATAGAGGATGATGGATTAACTATTGTATTGTACAAACAGACATTAATTTTTTTTTTATTTATAAATCAGAAGAGAAGTAGTGAAGGATTAGAGATGGTTCTGTCTTGATATATATTACATTGGAACCTCTCACAGTAAAACCATTAGAAAAAAATTGTTTTACTAATTTGGTTTACACTATTCTACCTAAAATAAAAAGGATTTAATAGACATCATTAGTTTTATATTTTTAAATATAAATACTATCTTATAAGAGTATATATTTTGTTATGCACTTTGAAGAGTTCAATATAATTTAATTTACTTTCAATGATCACATGTATGATTCCTCAATTTTCTTACTCAGTTATTTGTATCTGTCTGAATAATTTGTATGTACATTATGTATTGATTTACAAAAAAATCTTAGTATTTATTTCAGTTACATATTATAACACAAGCTCTCCTTGTGTTTTTGTGAATTGTTCAGGGATATTAACTGCATTTGTTGTCTATATTTTTTATTGTATTATACTATTAATACATTAGCTAAATTAAAATACTTTAAGCCTGATTTATTGATCAAATTCACTGTATTCTACAATTAACATAAAAATGTAAGTGTTGTAATGTTCTCTTTTGGACTTACTAATAACGTTTTAACAAATATTATTTACTTATGCTTACCATTCAATTTATGCAAGAAATATGTATTTCACAGACACACGTATAGTCAATTATTTGCAGAGAATATAATGGTACAGAAATTAATATTTAGTAACTTATGTTATGTAAACAAACTCTGACAATTAGTGGATATTGGAGTGGAGACTGACAAGTGTCACCTAGAGAAATGTCATTAATGTCATCCTGACCGTTACACTTCTTGTCAGTTTGTTGTCAGTTCCAAGTATCGACGGAAGAGTCAAATAAAATAATATACGAATGGAGCATCCGTTAGTTACTCCGTTTTTTTATTATCGGAGACAAAATAGTTAGGTGTAAAGTTTACAACTACAAATATATATTTATTTGGTTTTATAAATTCTTCTATCATCTGCTTTACCTTTTTTATGTTGTATACGATTGCCAAAATGCATAAAAGAATTATTAAAAATATTGAAAATATAAGGATATTTCTTACGTTATCTTGATTATGAGTAATTACCGGACAGAGCTGAGCTGAGCTCGCGATTTCGTCTTCACAAAATTTCATCCCCTATTTCACCCGCTTTCAAACAATAATTTGTGACAAAAGGTAGCCTATATCCTATATCTACCTGCGTGATGCTATATTTGTGCCAATATCATTAAATCCGATCAGCAGTTTAGTTATGAAAATAAACAGATATACAGTCTTACTTTAGAAAGTAAGCATGTAAGTACTGTAAATATTAGTATGGATTGAAAATGATATATCTGGGTTTGCAGGATGTCTTTAAATAAGTATTTAGAACTCCGACCGACTCAACAGCGAGTCCACACTTAGCGAAGCTTTGATCAACATTTAATTAAACCCTTGCAGATTTCTCAGTTTTTGAAATTGCTTGATATGCTTAGTAATTAAGGAAATTACGCTGCTCTTTCAGCGACTGTTTTATAGAGGAATGAAATATGTCAATGAATTTTCTTCTTTAAATAGACTTAATAAGTCTTCATTCTACCTAAAATAAGGTATGTATGTACCTAAAAGCCAATACAAGTGTAAATTAAGTTTCGTATGAATGTAGGCACTATAAATTACAAAGGATATGAAAATTATTATGATGGGTTAAGTGACCCATTAACTTCATTATTTTTTTATCTTTCACGTTTGAAGACCTTTCCTCATTGAATAAAAAAAAAACAGCAGCACATACATAGGTACTGCACTTTATTTTATATTAATTATTATTATTGTAAAGCATAATTTTGTGCATTCCTAACGATAGCTCATTAAGTGACTTGAACGAAGCTTTCTATATGACAAATTTCAGTTGCGCAAGTCATTAGCTCAATTACATATGTGTTAACTATCGTGTGACGCACCATTAATTAAAAATGGTAAAGTCAATAATCATGTAACCTGAAACGGAACGTCAGAGGCCAGAGCCAAAGTAATCTATGTGACATTGACAAGTGGATGACGGACGATTGAACGGAGGCAGCGGGAGTTTTGGAGCGAAAGTGTTGATATTATTATAAAAACAAATAAGAGATAGATAATTGTGAATATTGTAGGCATTGAGGTGTTTCTCTCCCTGACTAACCGGCATTACGCCTAAGTCGTCAGGATACTAGTGATTTTAAAAGTTCAGAAGCGGTACCAATCCCGCCTACAAATTCGACTGTAAGGTAATTCTGACTAGAAGTTGTGGTAAGTGAATTTACGTTAATAACACGCATACCATTAAACGCAGTTTCTCACTTGTTTTATTGAACTTTTGGATGAATTGCTTTCTACATATTAAATAGATTTAGTATGTACGATAACTTGCGAGAGTAATGACATGACATGTAGCACGATATTGAGGTATACAATATACCTAAGAAAGAAGTATTATGAATACATTAAGTATAGAACAACATGGCTATCTAATTAGTTTAAAATACAGAGTAACTATTGTTATGTTATTAATGCCTATGATAGAGTATGATAGGATATCAACAGATTAGAAACAGTTACATTAACTATGTTGACATACAGGTTGAACATGAGAACACATACCATGTTATACATATAAACAGTGTAATGGTATTGCTGAGTTTGTTGCTAATTCACAGTAAATTAGTCAAACTTACTGTTCAGTTTTGTGTGTTTGTTCTACGTGAATTGAATTGAAGAATTGTTATTATTTCTTTACATAGGTACACATATATGTTTGATGAACCCATTTCAGATAAATGATAATCACAGGCATAGTCCAGGTATATGTCTTGATGGTGGTTATATTCCCAAATTGAGACACTGTCATATGTATATATATTATATTGGTTGATACTTTGATATGTGTTTATTAATGAATTAATAAAGCATATTAATATAGATAGACACAGTATATTGTTGACATAAACTGATACCAGCAACATAACATGTTATATTTCATAATATTAGATATTAAAGACATTTTAGATGCTATCTCATGATTAGCTGTGAAGCTCTCAGTGAAAATAGTACTTAACTCTGATAGTACAATTATTATATTTATTTCTTGCTGTGTTTTGAATTTTATATATATAGCAATGGCTAACAATTGGTAGTAAACTCCAATGTTAAAAAACCGAATAACTGTAAACTATTATTATTAATAGTTCCTTATTTAATCATTATTTAGTATAAAATCCAATTGAGATCTATTAGGATCCTCAAGGTTATCATAATCATATGATATTGATTATTAATGTGTTGAAAAAGCACCTAGAAATGATATCCAATTCCTCAAAGGTGTCATATTATGCATGAATTATATATTATATGTATGCTCAGATTGAATGTATTATATGTTTGAGCAATTGGTTCACTTCTTTGATGCTTCTCTTGAAATTCATTAGAATGGCCCTTAGCAGCCATTGTTGATCAATAAAGGTACTTAAAGGTCCTGTGCAGGTACCTGTAGCTATGTACATTTGTCATTTGAGACAATGTTTAGTAAGTGAGTGTTGGAATTTATAAGCACCACATTAATATGTGACATGTTAGAAAGTGATAGATTACAGGTAAGACTATTCTTACATGGTTCAGTTTTATAATTTATGAAGTTGTCTTTTAACCTAAAGAAAAGCTTTTGGTAACTCCAGAAATGAATGTTGTTGGCTCTTGATTGTATTATTGATTGTACAAGAAACCTGTTGAATTTTCTAAACAATACTTGAGCAACAAGCTTGTCTTTAAATTTACTATTAGTGTTATGAATATGAATAAAAGTTTTTGGAAATAAGTTAATATTTGTGTACATACAGAATGTTTGGATATATATATTGAGTCGCAACAGTGAGAGTATTTGCCTTTTGATGAGTTATAACTCTCCATACAGTAAATTGCACAAAATGTCATGATTTTATAATATGAATATGCACAACATACGACAATTGTTATCACAATAATGAAAATAGACTATTGTAATATATTGCAATGTATTGCTATATTGTCCAATCTTGTGTAGTGCATAAGCTAATGAACTGAAGATTTGCTGCAAGGATCTGAGCTTAAGTTATCCATTGAGTTTTATTATTTAGTGTCATTTGTAGAATGACAGTACTAAGAAACTATAAAGTGGACAGATTCATTGTTAAATCTGTATTGGAATTGAAATGTGAACCAAGGAGGAAATCATTGTTTAAATTCAAATTGTATTATATATTTGTGAAGTACAGATAATAAAAAAAAAAAAACAAGTAGAGTATATTATTGAATATTAATATAAATAAATGTATATCAGAAGATAATAACTGATTTAAAGCATTCATGAGTTAATAATGAACTCATCTTGAAGTTAGCACATGGATTGTGTCAAACAGTGTGGTCTAGAATTGTGAAATTTGGATAATAAACTTTATAATTCAGATATTATGGCAGGAAAATGGAAATAAATGAGTGCATAGCACTCTTTTGTTGTATATAGGTATGGACAGATGGGAGAGAATTAAGTGAATACATGTAAACTGTGATATGGTGAAATAGAGGAGAAAGGAAAAATTGGATACTATTTTTAAATGGTTTATGTAACTTACCTTCTATGTATTTGTAGACTACAGGATTATAAAATATTTTATGATTTGACTAATGAAGTTTCTGTATATTAATTAGTTATTATTAAATAGTCTCTGTGGGAGGCAATGTTAAGATATTCAAAGTACATAAGCTTTAAAATTATTATAGAGGAATATTATGAGACACAGACAGACAAGATTGTTAGGAAAGTAAAGAGATATGGATATTCTAGAAAACTTTGCTGATGACCTTGGTAATGTGGTTATTAATAGGCTGCATAATTGTCCATGCATGGAAATTCGTTCCCATTCTATACAACCGTTATATATTTATGAGAATTCCTGATTGTTGGTGTTTTATGCTATGCCTTTATAAGCATGTGATTTGTTTTATTTAATATAACTTTGTTACCAAAGAGGATGAGACTGAAGTTAGTCGGTTTTATGAAGATAGCACTTTTATACTGTGGCAAGCTTCCAATTATCTTCTGTGAATCTACTGTACTGTAGAGGACAGTGCATGGTGATTTCGGTATAGCTATGACAGGAATATATAAGAAAAAAAAAAAAAAAAAAGAATAGGAAAAATCCTCAATATCTTGTGAACACAAGTTAATCACTGCAAATGTAACTTAGATTGAAAGTGAGATGTTGGTATCCGTTGGGATGAACAGTGATTCACAAGCACAGTATCAGTATAATTTATAGAAGAAAAAAATATATAAATAGTAATGATTCAAAAGAAAATTGTATCATATGTACAGGTATAAATACATATAGTAATGCCTATTTAACATTTAAATAGTATTGTGATTGATTGGATTGTAGGACGCCATATAATGAAATGAAAAATTTATAAGCCATATATATATATATATAAGAAAATGGCAGAGACGACAGACAAAAGAAACGTAGGACAGCAGAAAAAAAGATAAGCAGATGACATAAGAAAAAAAAAAGGAAACAGCAGGAGAAGACTGGATGCAAACTTCCATAGAGAGAGACATGGATAGTCAGTATGGACGAGCTGGTTTATGAATATGGATACTGGCGTAATTTATGAGATTTTTATATGGTTTACTGATGGATAATAAACTACTT